TGGAAAGTGACCTGAGATGACATGATGTGAATTGGAGCTATAGAAATAAACTGAATAGAATTGAATCTGAACCAGAGAATGACTGGATCCGGTTCTGACCCAAAGCGATTTCTCTACTAGGATCTCCAGCTTTAATCAGGAAATAATAATAATAATAATAATAATAATAATAATAATAATAATAATAATAAAAATAATTATATTTCTCCTTCTAAAAACCAAAACCTTCTGATGATCCGATTCCAGCTGCCTTTAACAACCGGGCCGGCGATCGGAGCCAGGAGGTAACCATGGCAACAAACTAACCTGCCTTGGTGTTGATGGAGTTCGTAAGGTTTAAGGAAGGTCGGGGTTGAAAGGTCACAGCAAATAAACGATGGTAAAGATCTCTGCTCTGGTGAAAATATTCTGAAGGACTTTTCGGGTTTGCAGAACCGACCCGATTTAAAGACTTCTGATCTGTAGAACCCGTTCAAAGAGCAGAACCGCGACCCGTCCAGAAACTCAACCAGCGCCTCAGCTGCTCTGACCTGCAGGGCTTCAGCCAGAGTCCGTCTCTGTCCGTCCACCAGGATGAAGGGACGCGTCTTCTCCAGGAGGGGGCGCCTCAGTCTGTCCGCACCTTAAAGACGGAGGAGAAGTTAGAACATGATTCAGAGCTAAGATCAGATCAGCTTTGACTTCTTTTCATTTCCAGGATTCTGGCTCCCAGAAAAACCCAAAACCAGTGGCCTGAGAAAATAGAAAAAGTTTGATTTGGTTCTGTCCCACGTAACCATGGAGACAGGAGAGACGTCCACCGGCTCAGTGGACAGAGACCTCTATCTAGGCTGGGAAATGTTTTCAGCTCTGGCATTTTTCCATCTACACCGGCCCACTACTGCCCCCCACAACATGAATACACGCTGTGGATCAACCATCACCGTCTATGATGCAGGTTCACTGGCTTTGGTTATTAACACGGACGCCACAGTGACTGCTGCTGCGCAACGTCTGCACTTGCAAGAAGCCAGCCAGACCCCCCCACCCCCCCTAGGTCTACAACATCGGCCCGAGTGTTGTTAAAAACACCAACATAAACCAATAGAACATAGAGGCAGACAGGCAGGTCTTCAGGAAGGAATCCATGAAGCTCAGCGGT